AGGGAGGGCTGGGTGTTGCACCCGCAGGCGAAGTGGTAAAACCTGTGGCTACACTCCCATCACTGACTTGAGTGCTGAGCGTCCTGGTGGAAATGTGCGTTCCCCCCGGGAGAGTACTTGGGGGAACCATGTCTATGGTCGGGGTGGTCAGCGGGGGAGTGCTGTTCACGGAAGTGCTGTGTGTGGGTGCATGGGTGTCTGGCCCGTCTGTGGGGCTCGGCGTGGTTGGGGAGACTTGTACTTCAGGCAAGGCAGTACTTGCAGATGCTGTGTTCGAAGTCGGATCGCCTACTGTACTGTTTGTATCTGCTGGGGGGCTGTGTGCAGTTGTGGGGCTGTGTGTCTCGCTGGAGAGAGTGCTCGTGGATGGCGTGGTTGAAGTGGCAATGTTGACGGTGCTAGTGGCCTGTGAGGGAGGGCTGGGTGTTGCACCTGCACGAGAAGTGGTAAAACCTGTGGCTACACTCCCATCACTGACTTGAGTGCTGAGCGTCCTGGGTGTACAGTTCGTTCCCCCAGGGAGGGTACTTGGGGGGGCCATGTCTATAGTCGGGGCGCTCAGCGGGGTAGTGCTGTTCACGGAAGTGCTGTGTGTGGGTGCATGGGTGTCTGGCCCGTCTGTGGGGCTCGGCGTGGTTGGGGAGACTTGTACTTCAGGCAAGGCAGTACTTGCAGATGCTGTGTTCGAAGTCGGACTGCCTACTGTACTGTTTGTGTCTGCTGGGGGGCTGTGTGCAGTTGTGGGGCTGCGTGTCTCGCTGGAGAGAGTGCTAATGGACCGTGTGGTTGAAGTGGCAATGTTGACGGTGCTAGTGGCCTGTGAGGGAGGGCTGGGTGTTGCACCTGCAGGAGAAGTGGTAAAACCTGTGGCTACACTCCCATCACTGACTTGAGTGCTGAGCGTCGTGGTGGAGCTGTGCGTTCCCCCTGGGAGAGTACTTGGGGGAACCATGTCTGTAGTCGGGGCGCTTAGCGGGGTAGTGCTGTTCACGGAAGTGCTGTGTGTGGGTCCATGGGTTTCTGGCACGTCTGTGGGGCTCGAAGTGGTTGGGGACAGTTGTAGTTCAGTCGAGGCGGTACTTGCAGATGCTGTGTTGGACGTCAGAACACCTACTGTACTGTTTGTATCTGCTGGGGGGCTGTTTGCAGTTGTGGGGCTGCGTGTTTCGCTGGAGAGAGTGCTCATGGACTGTGTGGTTGAAGTGGCAATGTTGACGGTGCTAGTGGCCTCTGAGGGAGGGCTGGGTGTTGAACCTGCAGGAGAAGTTGTAAAACCTGTGGCTACAGTCCCATCACTGACTTGAGTGCTGAGCGTCGTGGTGGAGCTGTGCGTTCCCCCAGGGAGAGTACTTGGGGGAACCATGTCTATAGTCGGGGCGCTGAGCGGGGTAGTGCTGTTCACGGAAGTGCTGTGTGTGGGTGCATGGGTGTCTGGCCCGTCTGTGGGGCTCGGCGTGGTTGGGGAGACTTGTACTTCCGGCAAGGCAGTACTTGCAGATGGTGTGTTCGAAGTCGGACCGCCTACTGTACTGTTTGTATCTTCTGGGGGGCTGTGTGCAGTTGTGGGGCTGCGTGTTTCGCTGGAGAGAGTGCTCATGGACCGTGTGGTTGAAGTGGCAATGTTGACGGTGCTAGTGGCCTGTGAGGGAGGGCTGGGTGTTGCACCCGCAGGAGAAGTGGTAAAACCTGTGGCTACACTCCCACCACTAACTTGAGTGGTGGAGCTGTGCGTTCCCCCAGGGAGAGTACTTGGGGGACCCATGTCTATAGTCGGGGTGCTCACCGGGGTACTGCTCTGCACGGAAGTGCTGTGTGTGGGTCCATGGTTGTCTGGCCCATCTGTGGGGCTCGACGTGGTTGGGGAGACTTGTGCTTCAGGCGAGGCAGTACTTGCAGATGCTGTGTTCGAAGTCGGACCGCCTACTGTACTGTTTGTATCTGCTGGGGGGCTGTGTGCAGTTGTGGGGCTGCGTGTTTCGCTGGAGAGAGTGCTCATGGACCGTGTGGTTGAAGTGGCAATGTTGACGGTGCTAGTGGCCTGTGAGGGAGGGCTGGGTGTTGCACCCGCAGGAGAAGTGGTAAAAACTGTGGCTAAACA